CTTTGAAAGCCTGCATGTATTTCAAAATGCTCTAATCAGAAAACCTGGTGACAATAAAGTCATTTATTACCAAAACATCAAATTGGATATGAATGAAAGCTGGGTTTCCTACATGTATTTGCCAGGAACTTCCTACCTGCCAGGTGCTGCACTTCACGTCTTATCTGCACCCTCCAAGCTGCAGGAGAGCGCAGGAGACGGTGCCTGCCTGCGTGCAGCTGGGCCTGTGGGACCCCCACAGATCAGGGCACCACAATGCTGACCCAGGACCCCGGTGCGGGCAGCCGCTGTTGCAGCTGCTGCGAGAGTCCTTCCTATCCCAGCCCGGCCAGTCTTCTGAGTCAGCCTGTCGTCTGTCTCAAATCCATTCTGAGAGGAGTGGGAGTGTTTTAAAAAAGATGACATATCGTCCCAGTCAGCCTTCCCTGTGCCCCTGCCTCTGGCCCGGCACGGACTCCATAACGGGGAATCTCACACTTGCAGCCGTGGGTGCCTCTGGGCCTGGCACATCCAGCCTCTTGGTTACTCATCCTTTGACGTGTGCGGCCTTGACTCCTAGCAACGCAGGACTTGGAGCCTCTTGAGGGCAGGGCCCTTTCCCACCCTGTTTCTCAGCAATGTCCCACAGGGGCAGACGTGGAGCTAGGATGGGTGAGGTCCTGAAGCCAGAGCCACACATGGCCCACAGGCACAGAAACACAGAGGGGCCTGTCTGAGGACACGCTGGGTGGGGGTGAGACCAAAGGCCCTGAAGGCTGCCTGTGGGCAGGAGGGAGGCGGTAGGCTGAGAGGCCAAGGGCACAGCTCCTTCCTTCTCACAGCATGGCCACATGGAGAGCCCCTAACAAGCTCCAGACCCACGGACACCAATCTGGAGGGGATGGGGGTATGGGGCTTGTTAGGCGCCCTGGTTCCCAGGTTCCAAGGGGCAGGCAGGACTGAGCCCACCACTCAGCCACCCCCGCTCTCCATCTCCAGGTCTGTTCCTCCTTCCTCCTCACCCACCAAAAGCTGTCCATCCGAGGCACAGCTGACATCTGTGCACTCGTCATCTCCTGGGAATTTAAAGGTCAAATTGCACTCAAGAACTGTCACTGCTTACTGCACATGGGAACTTTCAGACCACACTGATGTCCCTGGGGCTCTGGGGCCCAGCTGCCTGTGCTGGGATCATGCTCTGCCAGCCTCAGCCTTCCTCCTCTGTGCTCCAGCCCCACCACAGCAGGGTGCCTTTAGTCAGAGGCGCCAACCCAGAGACCCCACGGTGCCTGGTGATTTGCAAGCAGCTAGTCGGCCCCATCAGCCACTGAGCCAGGGTCACTCTCGCCAGATGGCTAGAGGCTCTGCTGACCAGCTACCATCAGGTTCGAATGATTTCTGGAGGGGCCGTCTGTGCTCAATGGCCCGGCCCCATTCCATGTACACATGGTGCAAGAGGACGAAGGATGAAGAAGGAAACGGGCATGATTTTGTCCCAACATTCACAGGTGAGGAAAGCAAGGCCTGGAGAGGAAGGGTTTCCCTCAAACGGGCAGCCAGGCAGGAGTCACTGACGGAGGGGCCAGGAGGGGATGGGGCTCCATGCTCTTCTCCAGTTCCCAAAACTGAGAGAAGCCAGGCTCTGGCTGCAGCTCCACACCACCCTCTGGCGGCCAAGCAGCATTCCTGCCTGGAAGGAGGCGAGGTCCTTACAGGCCCGGCTGGCTCTCTGAATGCCATTAATTTCAACGCACCACTCACCCCATGAGAACACTCGATGTAATTTTCTCCTTTTGCCATGGCTGATTTTTGTGTTTTGGGGATTTCAAAGAGAATTAAATTATCGAATCACAACACCTCCAAATCTTACTGCATACTCAAGGGGACAGTGCCTTTTTCTGGCCTCAATAACCTGTTTTCTCTTTGGATAATTTCTGGATGGAAAATGAGTAGTTCTAGCCCCTAAACCTGTTTTGTAAAAGTTAATTAAGGGTCCAAACTCTGTCACTCCCTGGCCTGGCCTCGGCCTTCCTCTCTGGAAATAACAAAGTCCTTCATGTTTATAGGAACTATTGGGAAAATTTTAAAGAATTTGCTTGAAGAGAGCCTGTTCACCCACCATCAATGGCTTTTTCAGTGTGTGTAGTCACAGGGCCACACCATTTTATGTTGGTTCTGAACACGTGAATTCCTGCCCTCAAGCCTGGGAGCGTGCTAGCCCCTGAGGTGGTGGACAGCTTACCTCCCCGATTCCAGGTCTTCAAACTCCCAGTTCGAGAACTTCCTGTGTTTAATCGCTTTCCGCCTAACAATACATTCGCCACTTGCAAAACCACTTGGTCGATAAAGCCTCGCGGCAGGGCGGCACAGTTCCTCACGCGCTCAGCCTTTTCTCTGGGATGAAATCCAGGTAGCCAGGCTCCTTCGGCCTGGGGCCCTGCTCCACACTCAGCGGCCCGGGCCCCGGCTACACACCCGACCCTGGCGCCCAGAGCCTGGTGACCGTCACAGTGACCAGCACTGCCAGCAGCAACCCGGAGTGGAGAAGGGCAAAGCTCCCGTCCAGGTGGGCTTACAGGGCAGCCCCGCCTGCTCTTAATGTACTGAGTCCTCTTTTCATCCACGGAAGCTTCTCTGGAGGGAGGGTATGTTCTGGATTTCCCAATGAGACAGACCTGCGTTTGAAAAGAGCAAAGCAAGTATTTTAGCTGGCTTGTCTATTTCAACATTCTCCATGGAATTCTCTCATCCTGGAGTACAAATCACAAGTTTTAAACGTCTATCATGAAAAAATTCTGATTTTAAAAACTGACACCAGTTGGGTACGGTGGCTCACACCGGTAATCCCAGCACTTTGGGAGCCCAAGGTGGGCAGATCACCTGAAGTCAGGAGTTTGAGACCAGCCTGGCCAACATGGCGAAATCCTGTCTCTACTACAAATACAAAAATTAGCCAGGCGTGGTGGCGCACCCCTGTATTCCCAGCTACTCAGGAGGCTGAGGCAGGAGAATCACTTGAACCCGGGAGGCAGAGGCAGTGAGCCAAGATTGTGCCAATGCACTCCAGCCCGGGTGACAAGAGCAAAAACTCCATCTCAAAATAAATGAATATAAATAAAAAATAAAAACTGACACCAAATATAAGTTACTTAAAAATTAAAAACAAACAAACAAACAAAAAACAGTAAGAGCCCATGGCTCCCTCTCATCACTTGGAGCTTCACAAGACCTAACAAAGGCGCCTAAACTCAGAATCCACACTCCTGGGCCTGGCAGCCGCACCGTCCTAAAGCTTTCCTGCTGCCGCCCCTCACTCCACCCCTTGGCCACCTGGGCGGGGGCACATGCTGATGGTAACACTGCAGAGTGCCCCAGGGGCTGGGAAGGGAGGCAGCTTTGTCCCCATCTTGCCAGAGCCAGCAAGTGCACATGGGGGCTGAGCAGAGGGCCTGGAGCCACAGAGGCGCTCCACGCATGCTCGCCTTCCTTCCGGCACACCCCGATGGAGGACACCCTTCAGACAGTCCCCTCCGGACAAGCAGGTCCAGCCAACCATGGCACGGGCGCCTTATTTCTGGGCTTCCTCTCCAGGCATCAACTACAAGGCCAGGCACAGTTATAAGGAAGCCGACCTCCTCACTATGTGACAGCCACACCTCTGCTCCCCAGCTCTTCCAGGAGGATTTTAAATTCTCAGTGCCTGTCACACACCCAGGCCCCACCAGACATGTGCTGTGTGTGAACTGCTTTAAAAATGACAAACCACGTTTACATCCACTTTTATATTCGATCACCAAACCTGCCAGTGATAAGAAAACTGAAGCTCAGAGAGATGAAGTGACAGTCCATGGTCTCTACCAATTAGTAATGGGACAGCAAGTGCAAAAATCAAAGCCACAGGCTCCTTGGACCTGCCTAGAGGACCCAAACTTTAGCAGTTTCCCCAAATCAGTTCTGACCTCAGAAGACGAAGACCTGTCAAAATGGAGGACACTGAGAGGATGATGGGATGGTTCAGCAGCAAGTCCTAAGGTAACTTCCCATGGTAGCAGGGTAGTGACAGTGCCAGCGGCCCTGAGGCCTGTGCCACCAGCCAACGCTGCTCCTGGTGCACGGCTATGACTGCAGCCGGCCAGCGAGTGCCCACGACATGCCCTCCCCACCGTGGCTCTGAAGACATCATCCTGTTAAGCCTCCACAAAGCACCAGGCAGCCTCCTGGTCTCACAGAAGCGGACAGGCTTGTGGAGCTCTGCGATCAGTCGGAGTGAACCACGAGCAGCAGAGCTGAGGCTTCGCTCCGATCAGCTGGGCCCTTTCTTGCTAAGGCAGCCGTCAAACTCTGTGGCCTGGACACGACAGGGTTATTTTTTAAAAGCACACTGTCTGCCAGCCACAGACTGTTGTCAAATAAAGTCACCAGAGACTGAGGTGAGCGGCTGTAAGCACTTCCATGGTTCTTTAGAAAGGTCAAGCCCTTGGCGCGGCAAGAGGGCCTAAGTCTGCCCTGTCCATACGAGGTTCAGAGGCACGGTCACGCTGCTCACAGAAAGTCCCCGGGCCACCTTCTGCCCAAATGACATTTCTGGTGAATCTGAATGAACCAGGCCTTTAATGAGAAAATGGGAAATCACTGTGAACTTCTGAAACACACTTCAATTGCAGCCAATTATTTGCGACTTGAAGGAGCAGGAACTTTCCCCAGGGAGTTCAGCCACAGGCCACACCGAGGCCTCCTCTAGGCAGGTCCCCTGGGGCCGCTCAGAGCTTCTGGAGAGGCAAGGAGGGCTTGGCAAGGGCTCCTGCAGGCCTGGAGGAGGGAGCACCGGGGTGCCTTTAAGGAGGGTACCATGAGACAGAACAAGCTTCTGGGCCTCGTCAGTGACAGAGGCACAGAAATCAGCATCAGCATGTTCTGGAACATTTTGAACGTTACAGCATGGTTCACGGCTCTGTGACAGAGTCCTGAGCTCTCCATCCGAACACCGACACACCGCCAAGAACGACAATGAGAATCAAGACGTACTCTTTTGGTTGAAGGAATCCTGAGGCAGTCTTCGTCCACGTGAAACCCACAGGTGAAGCCCACTTCTTTAATGAAGTCAAGGTATTCCCGGTACTGAGTCTTCTTACTCTGCCTCCGGGAGTATTTTCCAATGAAGTCAAAGAAGCAGCAGGGGAGGACAAAGAAGCGGCAATTGTAGGAAGACCTTCAAAAAGAACCGACAACCAGAGCGTCAAGCATCCAGAGCAGACGCAGTCAAGGAAATTTGGCACAAAGCCACATGGCAATCACGTAGCAGGGCAAAATAGGGAAGTGATGTTCCTGGCCAATACTGTTTCCTTTTATATACATATAATGTCCACTTTTATTTCAGCTTCAGGGGGTATGTGTGCAGGTTTTGTGGCATGAGTGTACTGCAAGATGCTGAGGTTTGGGCTAAGGCAGATCCCATGACCCAAGTAGTGAGCATAGTAACCACCAGGTGGTTTTTCAACCTTTGCCCTCTCCCTCACTCCCCACCC